GATAATATCAGAAATCAATTGTTGGTGATGGATCCTTTATCATCAATTAACAGAGCCTACTCCATGGTTTTGAGAGTTGAAAAACAAAGGGAGGTACATGTACTCTTTTCGGAAACTACTGATAAACTAGCTATGATGGCAACAATAGGAGGTTTAACAACTTTGATAAGGAGATGATGTACTGCGATCACTGCAATGCAAGTGGACAATCAAAGGAAGGTTGTTTCAAGTTAATTGGTTATCCGGATTGGTACAAAGGATTGAAGGAACATAGACTTAAGAAGTTTGGAGGGAGAACCATGATAAATAATGTGATGAATATAGGTGATTCACCACTTGATTTTGAAGAAAAGGGAGCTGTGATGAATCAAAAGAGTGAGGTATCATCTGGCAGTAACACAGACATTGTGCAACAGGAATTAATGAAAATGCTCAAAGGAAAATTGTTGATAGATAATGAAAATCAAATCAATTTTGCACATCTCAACGACTATTCAGGTATGTGTACTCAATATTGGGCTTTTACATCACTTGATGATTTTGGACGTAGAACTTGGATAATAGATACTGGTGCCAGCAATCATATATGCACATACATTAACCAAATGACTGATATTAAACCTATTACACAATCTGCTGCTGTTTATTTACCTGATGGAGCTATTAAGCATGTCAAACACATTGGATCCATCATTATAAATCAAAGATTGCTCCTGACCAATGTATTACTCATTCCTACATTCAAATTTAACCTTTTATCTTTCCCAAAGTTGACACAAACTGCAAAGGTTAAATTCACTTTTTATCCAACTCATTGCTCCCTACAAAACCTGAAGAATGAAAAAACTCTAGCAATTGGAAAATTGAATGGGAAGTTATATACATTAGATGATCATAGTTTTCTAGATGAGGAGATTGAAAGTTGTAATAGAGGAATTAGTCTCTGTAATAAAATGTCTGCTGGGAAATTGAGGCCTGGCAATGATGTGTTTCATGCTAATAAAACTTCTTCTATTTCCATTGTTGATTGGCACAATAGGTTAGGACATGCTTCATATCAATACCTGCAACATTTAGATTTTCTGAGTTATTTATGCAATACTTCAGCCATAAAAACTTTACAGCCATGTGACACTTACCACAAAGGAAAACAGAGCAAGTTGTCCTTTCCAAATTCCCAGATCCATACCAAGTCGACTTTTCATCTATTACATATTGATATTTGGGATCCATACAAACAATATACGCCTACAGGAACTCCTTACATGCTCACCATTGTGGATGACTATTCTAGAGCCACATGGACCTTCGTGTTAATTCAAAAATCACAGACAATAAAGACTCTTGAATCATTCTTTAAAATGGTCAAGATTCAAGTTGAAAAGAATGTCAAGGTTATAAGAACCGATAATGGCAGTGAATTCACCAGTCATCGGTGTCAAGTTTTACTTCAAGCTTTTGGTATTTTATATCAAAAATCGTGTGTTTACACTCCACAACAAAATGGAGTGGTTGAAAGAAAACATAGACATTTATTGGATATGGCCAGGTCACTCATGTTCCAAGCAAACCTACCTAAACACCTTTGGTCATATTCCATTCTCATGTCAACATATATCATAAATAGAATTCCTAGTTCCATTCTAAAGTGGCAAACTCCATATGAAGTACTGTATAGAACAAAACCAGTTCTATCTACTCTAAAAATTTTCAGTTGTCTTTGCTATATCACTAATACTAAACCTCACAAGAATAAATTTGAGTCAAGGGCTCATAAATGAATTTTCATTTGATTCACCCCTGGATAAAAGGCCTACAAAGTCTATGATTTATCCAATGAGCAAATTCATGTCTCTAGAGATGTTATTTTTTATGAGAACATCTTTCCTTTTAAGTCTAAAGATCAGCCAGTCATTTAAAAACCCTTACCTTTAGCATCACCTCTAGATGATTGCTCCATAGACTTTCCTAACACAGATCAAACTGATTCAGACCTTTTCCAAGACCAAATGCCGAACTCTCCTAATTCTGATCCTCCTATTATTCAAGTTCATTTCCCCGAGTCCCTTATTCTTGAATCAGATGATATACAGCGGCCTAGACATATCATTAGACTGAGAATTAAACCTGCCTGGTTGGATGATTATATCTCTAATGTAACTGAAAATTCAATAATTCCAATTGCTAATGTCCATCCAGGTTTTGATGCCACTAAGTTCAGCTCACAACATACCCCTACCACATTTCCATATTCTGTTTCACCTTATTTACACCATGCATATATTTCTTTTCTGACCAATGTATCAAATGTTCAAGAACCACATACATATCATCAAACTTGTAAAGATCAAAATTGGGTACAAGCTATGAATAATGAGTTGAAAGCTTTGGAAGGAAATGATACATGGAGACTGACTTATTTACTTGCTGGGAAGAAAGCCATATGATTTAAATGGGTTTATAAGGTCAAGCTTAAATCAGATGGAACAATTGATAGATTCAAGGCAAGATTAGTTGCAAAGGGATATGATCAAATGGAAGGAGTAGATTTCTTTGAATGTTTTTCACCTGTGGCTAAGTTGGTTACAGTTAGGATTTTTCTTGCTTTTGCATCAGCAAATTCATGGCCAATTCAACAGTTGGACATTAATAATGCCTTTTTACAATGGTATCTTGATGAAGAGATCTATATGGAACCCCCAGTTGGATTTAAACAAGCATTACCAGGTCAGGTTTTCAGATTAAAAAGGAATTTATATGGTTTAAAATAGGCCTCCAGGTAATGGAACATTGAACTCTGTCATCAACTTATTGGCTACAGTTTTACTCAATCTCAGCATGATCATTGCCTTTTTATTCTTCAATCTTCTAGTTATTGTATTTTCCTTTTGATATATATAGATGACATCTTACTTACTGAACCAAATGAATCAGATTTAAATTCTGTCAAGCAATTTTTACATTCAAAGTTCGCTATCAAAGATTTAGAATATGCAAAGTTCTTCTTGGGACTCGAAATTGCTAGAGGGAAAGATGGTACATATGTGAATCAGAGAAAATATATTTCAGATGTCATTGAAGATGCCGGACTTGATGGTGCAAAACCTGTTGGAGTTCCTATCCCTAAGGGTACAAAGTTGTCACAAAATGATGGGGTTTTTTTTCCAGATCCAGTATGATATCGAAGGTTAATTGGTAGACTTCTCTATCGAATCTAACAAGGCCAGATCTTATATATGAGATTCAGCAGTTGAGTCAGTTTGTCAACAGGCTTTGCCAAATTCATTGGGATACTACAGTGCGTCTTTTGAAGTATCTAAAGGGCTATCCTTCTAAAGGTTTATTCTTCCCTTTTTAGCAAAATCTTTCCTTAACAGCATATTTGGATGCAGATTGGGCTTCTTGTGTGGATACTTGGAGGTCCCTTATTGGTTTTTGCATCTTCTTGGGGAATACTCTAGTTTCTTGGAAAACCAAGAAGAAATCTATTGTGTCAAGATCAACCGCAGAGGCCGAGCATAGAAGCTTAGCTGCCACTGTTTGTGAGTTTCGTTGGATCAGTTATGTTCTTACAGATTTTATGATCAGCCTACCTCTGTCGATTCCATTGTGGTGTGATAATAAATTTGCACTTTATATTGCAGTGAATCCTGTTTTTCACAAACGAACCAAACATCTCGAAATGGACTGTCACATTGTGCGGGATAAGTTCAAGGAAGGCTTTGTTCTTCTTCAATATATCTCTTCTTCCCACCAACTTGGGACATCTTCACCAAGGCTCGCCACCTCCCTAGTTTCATCTTCTTACTGGCAAGCTGGGATTTGAAGATCTTTATCAAATGCCAGCTTGAGGGGGAGGATGAAGACTTATATCATTTTGCTATTTTCTCTTTTCTTTATTCACATGTTTTTACTTGGTTTTAGTTAGTTAGTTGGTTGTGCCATGTGGCCTTTTATCATTGGTTAATATTTGTATAAATGCCTTTTGATCTCTACGTTTAGTGCTAAGCTGAATAAATGAACTCTTAGAAAACTTGCTCCATTTCAGCTGCATAATTCCTTCTTCTACAAAATCAATAGTATATATATAGGTTTTTCAAAACTAAGGCCAATTGCCCTCATAATTAAATAAAACAAAAAGAAAAAAAATTAATGTCAACTATTGTCTCAATTTTTTTTTTCAAATAAATGCAAACAAGTCCCTAATAAGTAATTAAAAAATAAAAAAAATCTCCAAATAAAAAAAATTAAAATAGTGCTCTAAAACGCAAACACGAGGTTGAATAATTGTAGTAAACGACATGAATACAAGAAACTAAAGATCAGTGACAGTTAATTGGATGCCTGTAGATCGTGATTAGCCTTCGTTGGAAAGAGGAAAAAAAAAACCATTGTCGGCCATGATCATTCAGAGAAAAAACTTCCTCCTTATCCTTGGGAGAAGAATGAAGAATTTGAATGGAATTGGGGGTGGAATTAGAGTTATTTTCTATTTTTTGTTGGAGAAAAAGATGAAGTATGGGGTGGAGATTATTTATTTATTTATTGGTTCTTTGGACATGTTTTTATTTTTAATTATTTATTTGAAAATTGTTTGCATTTATTTTTAAAAAAATTGGACTATAGTAAAAATTTATTTTTTATTTTTTCTTCTTTTATTTTTGTTTTATTTAAATAGGAGGGTATACTCATTATTTTCAATCTTCTTATTGAGAAAATAGACAATAAAAACCTTTTTAACTAATTTTAATAGGTGAGGGGGTTCTGCACAACACGTCAAATAGGTGGGGGGTTTTGTCATTTCCCCCCATTTTCCTCCTATTTATTAAGGTAAGACCAAATTTTGAGTTGTCCCATTTTATTTTACACTTTATGCATACAACTATGAGCCATGTTTATTGTAACATAGTTTATTTGAAATTTCTTTTTGCTTTTTAAATCCCATGCCTTGGCATCAAATCTATAACTGCAAGAAACAAATATAACGACATTTTCACTATATGGATGAAGTGGCTCAATCACGGAGACGACATAACCAACCAAAGAAATGCCATTGGAGTACTGCTGATAAACCCATTCACCGTATGAAACTTGAAATTAAAATGGAAATCCTTAGTTGGCTTCGACATAACTGTAACTCCAGCAGTTGCCAATAGAGTCATCTCCTTCCTCTACTACCTACTGGAATGGAAATTTATACGCTCTGAATGCTATAAATGGCGTGCTATTTTGGAAACAAAATCTAACCTAGATAACTAGTATACTTCCGACTGGAACATATGTAAATGTAACCAGGGGCGAAGCCAGCCCGTTGAAGCAGAAGGTCCCAGAGTTGAAGGGGTAGGGGGCCCACGGGGGTGCTGCCCCCGAAATTTTTTTTGAAACATTATCTGTTAAAATGAGGGAAGTTGATACTTTGTGATGTAGAAAGGAAACAAATAAACATAAATTAATGTACATTATTAACAAAAAAAATCAAGAAACGTATAAAAGAAAGTACTAATCTTTAATTTAGCAAAATCATACATTATTACGAGTGTTCGTTTCAAGTTTAAGTTTTTGGATTGGTAGGGTTTCAGTTTTTTATTCATTTGAGGATAAAATGGTAAATACAAGAAATAAAATTTTAAAATAAAAAAAAAATTGTCAGAAAATTGGGGGGTAGGGGGTTTGGGTCCCCCCAGGACCCCGCCTGCCTTCGCCCCTGAATGTAAGGGTCTCAAGATCCACTCCGATAGTGGCCTATGATATTCTAATTGTTGGTATTTATCAGCGTATGTGGTTGCTGTGCGGCACTCCAACGGAGAATTTTTATGGTTTACTTGGGTGGATCCTGGTGCCCTGAGCCTGGTGACTGCATCTGGAACAGTTTCTTTTGGGGTTAGTTAAATTCTCTATGCTACTTCATTTATTTGTTGTCTCGCGCAATTCGTGAAAACTAAGAATATTGTTATTCACTAGTTATGAACGACACTCAACAGTTTATGTAAACGTGAGATCAGTGTATGCCCCAGAGCACATCTCTGTTTGATTAGCCACATTTTCCATGGTAAAAGGGGAAGGTGGAAAAATGCAAACTTTGCTTGAGGCTGCCGCGTCAAGGGTTCGAATCCTGAAATATGGATTTGGCCATTGGGTAAGTGTAAGTGTACAAACAGCCTTCCACCCTATACCTTTAGAGGCATAACCTGCGATTTACCTCATTCACCAAGGCCCATGGCAGGGTGGTGGGGGCCGTCAAAGATGCAGCTCATCAAAAAAAAAAAAGGTGAGATCAGTGTAAGCAGTCGTCGTGGGATATGCTTTATATTACTATCTAATTTATGTTAAATCATTTTCTTAAAATTATGTATTGAATGATTATAATGATTTAATTTATATTTTTAGTCAATTATTACAATAATGCTATGTCTTATTTGCTAACTTATCTGTCACTTACTCCAAAATTTGCGTAAAATGAGATTCGAACGATTTATATTACAACAAATTTTTCTTGTTTTCTCGTAAGGCATTCTACGTGGGAGTTTCATCACTAGAAGTATGATTACCTGCTGGGCAATGTTGTGCATTTCGGGGCAGTTTAGTTTAGTTAGACATAAGAATTGGAAATATATTGTGGCAAACATACACCCTGCCGGACAATGGTGGAAAACTCGAGGGTTGCTCGAGTGCAGCGATATGTGGGAGTAGACCCTCCATTGACATAGCTAGAGGCCTTGTTTATGTCGAAACTGGTAACCTACACCTAGCTCCGCCAGAGGTCCTCCAATTTCAGGAGGCGCAGAATAATCAAACGACACCACCAAGTCAACCTGATCAATGTTTCGGGTCTAATGTTCATTTTGATTCACTTTTGGCTTTTGATATTAATACAGGAAGGATTGTGTAGGCTAAGCAACTCGGAGGATACAATGTTTTCTACTTTGTGTGTTTGGTTCCTCATAAACTTGACTGTTGTCCCGACCCAAATTTGGATGCTAATTTCGAAGAGGCAACAATGCTAGTTACTATTGTAGGGGAAAACAAATTAGAGAATCAAAGTAGATCTATCAAAACCGAAGGTCTGTATTTACACGGTTTCCTTAAATTGAATTCGCCTCCTCATCGGAGTGCAAGAGGGTTTGATTGGTGTTCAATTTCCAAGATACAATCGGTTCTCGGTTCATGCTGTACTACATTAACCGCCTACGAACTAGCTGTGATATACTCTATCTCTCAAAGAATCAGAAAAGAAAAGGTTAAAATCAAAAGAAGAAGTTTGTTGCTAGAAGCTCGTATCTCACTTTACTTGAGTTGTATCTCATACTTGTGCTTCTACCAATCGAAAGATCCTCTATTTATACCCATAGAGAAAGAGCTTGTCATTAACACGTTGAATATAGGAGTTACAGCATCGAAGAAAATCGGATGAAACTGATTATTTCATTGAATATTCGAAACTGAAGTGGAATGGCTGAAGGCTGCTGAAACTGATTTTCATTCATTTTCCAACAATCCCCCACATGAATGAAAATTTGGAAAACCAGAGAAAGATAGAGTAGAACGAATCAATCCTGCATAGGATGGGTAGTATTTAGCTTTGAACCTTCCCTTGTGAAACCTATCAAGTATTACTAGCAAACCAGTAGATCTGATGCCTTGAACTGTTTCGCCATTTGTGTAACCAAGACAATAGATCTCACACAAGACCATTCTAGACACAGCTTAGTTCTCAATGTTGTGTTCATTTTGGCCATGAACACGTCGCCTGGTTTTGCAAGTATTTGTTTAAGGATGTAGCCTTCCCAATCCTTATAGAAGCGGCCCCATTTCACACTCACATAGGTGACCTCATAACTTAGTCTGTCACAACAACGCTTAAGGTCATTAAAAGCATAGCTTAACCTACTTCTTCTAATCACTGTGAGCACCATAGGAATGAGCAGAAGGAGAACCTTCTCAGTGATTCATAGATATACATGATTTAGTTGTCCCTTTGAACTTAGATCCTGGAATCCACGTTCAGCTAGGTTAGGTTTCCACCATGATACCTTTCAATGTCATAGGCTACAAGCCCATTTCCCTCTATGCTTTTTCAACTAGCTCTCGAGTTTAACCCTTTGGTTAGCGAATATGCAATATTATCATTTGACTTCACGTAGTCCAGAGTGATAATACCTTGTGAGAGTAGTCGTTGAATGGTATTATGTCGTCTACGAATATGTCGAGACTTACCATTATACATATTGCTCTGTGCCCTAGCAATTGCTGATTGATTATTACAATAAACACAAATTGCAGGCAAAGGTTTTGACTATCTTGGAATATCCTCAACAAATTGGTGAAGCCACTCTGCTTCTTCAGTTGCATTGTCCAAAGAAATGAACTCTGTTTCCATTGTAGATCTTGCGATGCAGGTTTGTTTGGACAATTTCCCAGAGATAGCTGCACCATGAAGAGTGAAGACATATCCACTAGTAGATTTTGAATATGACATATCTAATATCCAATTTGTATCAACATACCCTTCGATTACTACAGGGTATCTAGAATTATGTATTACAAAATCACGAGTGTACCTCAAATAATGTAACACCTTGAAAATGGCTCTCTAGTGGATATCACCTGGGTTACTCGTGTAGTGACTCAATTTGCTAGTTGAGTATGCTATATCCGGTCTCGTACAAGTCATTAAATACATTAAACTCCCAATTATCCGAGAATATTCTAATTGTGACACACTATCACCAGTGTTCTTGGATAGGTGGAGACTAAAATCCACTGGAGTCCTGGCCACAGTGGTATCTGACTTATTGAACTTGTCTAGTATCTTATCAATGTAATGAGATTGAGATAACACAAGTCCATTTGGTGTTCGATTGATTTTTAATCCTAAAATGACATCCGCGATACCTATATATTTTATTTCAAACTTTGAGTTTAACATATTCTTAGTGGCTTTAATAATCTTATCAGAGCTGCCGACAATGAGTATGTCATCGACGTACAGACGTAATATGACATATCCATCATTAGTGTCTTTGACATATACACACTTGTCACACTTGTTGATTCTGAAACTACTAGAAAGCATAGCACTATCAAACTACTCGTGTCATCGCTTCGGTACTTACTTTAAACCATAAAACGATTTAACCAGCTTACAGACCTTCCTTTCCTGACCTAGAGCCAAAAACCCCTCTAGTTGCTCCATGTAGATTTATTCATTTAAATCTCCATTTAGGAAAGCTGTTTTTACATCCATTTGATGTATTTGTAGATTTTACAAGGCTCCAATAACAATTATCATTCGGATAGAAGTTATTCTCGACACAGGAGAATAAGTATCAAAGTAATCTAAGCCTTCTTTCTACTTATAACTTTTGATTACTAGTCCAACTTTATATTTATCAATGGAGCCATCCGCTTTCATCTTCTTCTTGAAGATCCATTTGTAGCCCAAAGGATTACAGCCCGGTGGAAGATCTACTAATTCCCAGGTATGATTCTGTAGGATAGAATCGATTTCACTCTTGATGGCTTCTTTTTACAGATGACCATCTGAAGAAGATATAGCTTCTTTATAACTTTGAGGATCATTCTCCATCAAATATATAAGAAAATCAGGGCCAAACGTCTTAGAAGTTTTGGTCCTTTTGCTCCATCTAGGCTCACCATCACCTTCTTCAACGGGATCTTTACTACTGCCAGAAGCAGAAGATTCCATAGTCCGTTTAACAGAAGTTAACAGAAGATTTACAAGGAAATATATTATCAAAGAATTGTGCATTTCTAGACTCCATAATCGTGTTCAGATGAATATCAAGTACATTCGAATAATGCACAAGGAACCTATATACATTACTATTTTGTGTATAACCAATGAACACACAGTCAACTTTCTTAGGTCGAATCTTAACCTTCTTCGGAAGAGGCACCGCGACCTTCGTAAGACATCCCCACATTCGTAAATATTTATACGAAAGTGTACGACATGTCCAAAGTTCATATGGAGTCTTATTCATATTCTTTCTTAACATTTTATTCAAAATGTAATTTACAGAAAGAATAGCTTCTCCCCACATGTTTTATGGTAATACAGAACTAATCAACAAAGTATTCATCATTTCTTTTAACATTCGATTCTTACNCATTACGTTAATCGCCTACGAACTAGCTGTGTTTATCTCTCAAAAAACTTTAGCAAATGAAGGAAATGAACAAACTGGAAAGAAGAAATTTGATGCTAGAAGCTTAGAAGGAAAGCTCGTATTTTTTTCTCTCTTGTTGTGTTTTTCTCTATTGAGAGCTCTTCTATTTATACACATAGAAGATGAGCCATCTCTTTAATGCATTGAGTGATGATTTACTTAAATGAGGAGTTAAGCATTGAAGAGATATTTGTAACTGATATTTTCATTCAATATTTTCAACAATCCCCCACATGAATGAAAATTTTGGATAACAAAGCCTAAAGAGAGAGAGAGAGAGTAAAACGAATTAATCGTGCATTGGATAGGTAGCATTTAGCTTTGAACCTTCTCTTGTGGAAATTTATCAAGTATTACTAGCAAACCAGTGGATCTGATGCCTTGAACTGTTTCGCCATTTGTGTAAACCAAGACAATAGACCTCACACAGGACCATTCTAGACACAGCGTCGTTCTCAATGTTGTGTTCGTTTTGGCCATGAACACGTCGCCTGGTTATGCAAGTGTTTGTTCAAGGATGTAGCTTGCCCAATCCTTATAGAAGCGGCTCCACTTCACTCTCACATAGGTGACCTCTTAACTCAGCATTTCACAACAAACGCTTAAGGATCATTAAAAGTGTAGCTTAACCTACATCTTCCAATCACTGTGAGCACCATAGGAATGAGCAGAAGGAGAACCTACTCCCAAAATGACATCCGCGAGACCTATATCTTTCATGTCAAATTTTGAGTTTAGCATATTCTTAGTGGCTTTGATAATCTTATCAGAACTGTTGACAATGAGCATGTCATCGACGTACATACACAATATGATATATCCATCATTAGTGTCCTTGACATGTACACACTTGTCGCACTCGTTGATTCTAAAACCACTAGAAATCATAGCATTATCAAATTTCTCATGCCATTGCTTTGGTGCTTGCTTTAAACCATAAAGCGATTTAATCAGTTTACAGACTTTCCTTTCTTGACCTGGAGTCGAGGGAAATTTTCCCCCTGAATACACTTAAGAGCATGAACCTCAAAGGTACAACGTTTTTGATCGAATTGGACCCTCCATGCCTAGAAATATGTCCCACCAGCTGCCCCCAATTCAAAGAGGGAAAAAACAATACCAAGGATATGAACCTCAGGGGATACCACATCCACCTACAAATAAGGTAGAGAGGAAGGACGAGGCGAATATGAGAAATCAAGCAGGAACGTCACAATCCCCTCTTTATTAGGCAGAGGAAAATGATTTTGATGGCCTATGTAGATCATTTAAGTAGGATGATGACAACGAAAGCTTGCCCTTCTCTAAAGAATTGAGAAACGCTCGGGTCCTAAGTCACTTTGTACCCTAAAAAATACTCAAATACAAGGGAAAAGGTGATCCGGCAAAACACCTCAACAACTATAAGACACACATGTCTCTACGAGGAGCCTCACCAGTGCTAAAATGCAGAGCTCTTCACCTCACGCTAATGGGGGCCATAGAAATTTGGTACAGCCGCATCCCAACTGGCAGTATCAGAAGTTGGCCAGACCTTAAAAAGGCCTTTCTAAATCAATATCTGTCTAGTAAAGAAAGGGAAGCTCCCATCCAAACGCTGCAAGACAGCAGGCAAGTAAAACCTTGAAAAGCTACTTGGTTCCCTTTATAGACGAGATGACCTATTGCGAACATCTTACGGATAGAGAAGCCCTTTCTG